TGGATCTTAAGAAATATTTTTGGTGGCGTCCAGGTCTGAAAACCGGTCTGGATTCTGGAAGCAACGTCCGAAAGCGGGGATGGAAAATGACATTTCTCAGGGATGTATATTATACTTATAACGGACGGGAAATGGTATTTGATGGGCGGGTAATATGAGAGGAACACTGTAGGAGAGGAAGACAGCATTGTTTTTCAGCCGGAAAAATCACAATGACGGCCGGATATTTTCCCCTGCTTGCGGCTATAATCTAGATTATCTACATCCCTATTTTCTTGGTCTAAACTAGGATCAAGATTTGGAGAACCGAGGGGCACATTCCCACCGAGATTTTCTCACGTAACGAAAGATACACGCTAGCAATTCTCAATGAAATCAGTCGAAAGTATATAAAACAAACCTTAATTAAAAAAAAAATGCTTAAAATAGCTAACTTTTGGGTAATTTATTCAGATGAAAGATTATAGATGAAAGTTGACTTCACCCGGATTAATCAGTGAAACGCAAAAAAAATTTTATATCTTTTGTTGGTCTTAAAAATATAATGCGGCAAGGGATCTCTTTGTCACCTGTGCTTTCAACCAGGGTCGTAACGAGCTATATTTTAGTTATAATTAATCCCTTTTCTACGCAAGATATAATTAGGATTAGTTCCCGTTCGCTAAATGCTGATCACAACTCCGATCCCTGTCACGCAAAAAAAAAAAAAAATCGGTATTCCCTACAATATTCCTCGTTGTTCACGAAGGCAAGGCTTGTGATTTCCAATCCCATATCTTATGATCCCTTATTTTGATTCGTCCGTCTGCAGACGTTTGTTTCTTGATCCTCTACCCCCGTTTTATACCAGCGAACCACTAGCAATAGTATTTGCTCGTGCTCACAGTGTGTGACGCGATGCAAGAAGCCCGGCCAAAAACCTTTCTTTATTTATTGACTTACCCAGCCTGCAAAAAAATTCCGAAATTAAACTCGCTTTGAATTATAAAACTTCGATGTAAATTGTTGAACTGTATACTAGCTGTTCAAAGGATGCACTGAATTGTCAAAACAGCGGGAGATCCTCGTACATACTAGCTAACTGAATATTCTGACCAACTAAATAGTAGCCGGCCGGTTGAGATGTTTTCAAGTTAATTAATGCAAGGATAACTACAATATAGCTTACCTATTCCTCAGTTCACAGTTTTCGATCAGGTACTCACAATTAGTGATGATTTTGTAAACAAAGACTGGAAATAAACAAAACATTTTCAATATTCAAGTTTAAAATATATTTAGCACCGACGACAGTCGATGTACTAGCATGCTTCAACCACAACTTGATTCACAAAATTTATAATCAAACGATAGGGATAAATTCACAAAATTTATAAATCAAACGACGACTCAGGAATGATTAATGAAAGCGAATGCCTTCAATAAACTTATAACTTACCAGCTTCTGTGAAGGATCACTCAGAACTAGCTGTAATACTGAACCCAAGATCAACTGTTTGCATCGCGTGAGCTCTGCGGTCAAGAATGGGTCACGCGAACGACCAATCTCGACCCCAGTGCTTACTCTTCTGACTCTTTCCCAGGCAGTCATGCGCAGAAGAGCTTTGGGTAGTTACGGCGCGTGTGGGCAGACCGATTTATAACTTTTTTTCTTTTGTTTTGCTTTGTTTGTTTGTTTGTTATTGTTTTTGTGTTGTTTTTTTTTTTATATATATCCACGATCCGTTGAACGTATACGTCCAAATATTCGCCACATGCAAGGAACTATGGGGCGCCGTTTGTAAAAAAATGATTTAGCTTAATTTTGTCATTTTTTTCGTTATTTATTAAATAAAGTTTTCTGATATGATATCATACGTCAATGATTTGATATAATAAATGTTGATTTCAAATCATGCGTTTATGATTTGATATAATAAATTATTATTTAAAATCATGCGTTTATGATTTGATATAATAAATTCTGATTTCAAATCATACCTTTATGATTTGATATAATAAATTATTTTTTCAAATCATACCTTTATGATTTGATATAATAAACATTGATTTCAAATCATAAGTTTATGATTTGATACAATAAATCCTGATTTCAAATCATAAGTTTATGATTTGATATAATAAATCCTGATTTCAAATCATTCGTTTATGATTTGATATAGTAAATCCTGATTTCAAATCATAAGTTTATGATTTCATATAATAAGTTCCGGTAACGCTACTGTGCACTGCTTGTGTGATTTGTATTTATCATGTGGACATCTGGTTCTTAAAAACCCATCATGTCTATTTGTTAGTCCAAGCGAATTGTGAACAGGTTAGACTTTGTTAACGCTTACTAAACAAACCCGTCCACGAGAAACATATTTACGTACCTCTTCACATATTGATTTGTTTTCCATATCATGTTGCAGACAAGGCCAACAGGAAGACCTCCCCTTCCCACCATGTTACGTGGTTCATCTGGTGTACCACCAGCGGCAAAAAAGAGGCGGACAAGCCATAAACAAACTAAAATTTACAATAAGGACATTATTTGCCTCCCACATGTACCAGGTGATGATGTCGTCATCCCCATTCCTCGAGGAGAGAAACGTTCAAAGCTTGCTGCAATGGGCCTCATTGGGAAGATAGCCATTCACTCCGTGTGGCAGTCCTCCCAAGTACAGGCCGAAGTCAGCAGTGTCTTCTCGTCTGCATTTGGCTTATCTCAGGGAGACATTCTGTCATATGAGTACTTGAGGTACATGAACTCATTTGGTTAAGGTTATATTTTCGTCTTAATTTGGTCGATGTAAAACTTCTTTTTTGTTTTTATATTGATGCTCATATCTTAATTACTTATTAGTTTCTCATTTTTGGTCCAATAGGACCATGCCGGGGACAAAAAAGCTAAGCATTCCAAAGACCTCTAGGTCATTCCAATGGAATGCCCCAGAAGTCGTGTCCTTGTGCAGTCAAGGTTCGTTGTTTATCATGGCAAACAGGCTGCCACTGAAATGGCCCGTAAGTATACACCTTTTTGATAGGAATGGGCTACAACAAACTAATAGCATAGCTACGATTGTTCATAAATTGAATTAAAAGAACTGGCCTTATAGTACTGATCCCATACGTCTATTGATATGGATAAATCACTATCCAGTATATCGTTTGGTTTGTTTTGTCAACACGTATCCACTGTGTAGCGATTTATCCGGTGTATAGCGTTATCCAGCCTTCGAGCAACTGCTCCTTGTCAGAGTCACCGCGTGAACTGAACTTCAGACAAGTGTAGCATGGTATGGGAGGGGGGTAACGCTAAATACAAATATCGAAAAATAGATAACAGCAAGAAGTTCTCTACATTTCATGCTAGGTAAGCTCTACAAGCTGCCGCCATTAGGAAAGCCTCCCCACCCCTTAAAAAACACACAAGGTAAAATAATGGAGGGGTTTTAATGTTTTTGAAAAATCGGACAGATGTATTTTTAGGTCAAGAACCAGGAATAGTGTGTGCAATTGTGTTCTGTCGGAGAATAAACAATAATGGGTGAACCAATCAGATGCGCATATTTCCAGTAGAAGATGCTGGGTGTCTACTAATGATAGTTTGGTAAAATGTTAAGGTTTGAGATTTAGTAAATTATTGTTATTGGCATGGAGGAATTTTCACTTATTAGCTTCTTGAGAAGAAGCCCATCCCTTGTGAAGGTTGTATTCCCCCGTGAGTCAGATAAGGTCATCCTTGCAGAAGAAGTTAAAGAGTTGATGACCTTTGAAGACAGAAGGGACAGTGAGCAGAATGAAAGAACTGCACGGTTTTATGAATTCTATATTGATGAACTGGAAGCAGGAGTGAAAGGTTAGATAGATATCAAAACAATCTATCAGATAATGTACTTTTACTACACGCATCTCAACATTATCCTGAGACACAAATACTTGCTTTTCTTCAATTTGCTATAACTAAGTACCGTTGCAAAATTTATTGCTTAGTACAGTAATGAATCCAATTTTGAAATTTATTTGTTTCGTAGTTTTTCAGTTATTATATGTTTCAGTTGGTTTTTAAAATGAAATATACAAAAACCCGGCTGTATTAAATTACATCTATGCCAAACCCAATCCATTCCCCCTTAGCCCATCTCAAACTTCAAACTGAAAATAAGAAATCCTTAGCAAATGAACTTTCCCTCTTACTTTTCTTCAAGGTGGACCTCAGATGGTGGATCTGGTAAACTTTTGGACTGGTGCAAGTACACTCCCAACTGGAAATGATTCACTACTAGCTAAATTTGATGCTGGGTCAAGCACCTTGCCCCTAGCTGAAACTTGTTTCAGAACTATTGTACTTCCAACAGAGCACTCAACTTACGATGAATTTAGAAAAAACATGGACATAGCTTTAAAGTTTGGATCAAAAGGATTCAGTTTTACATGAGTCCTGATATTCAAGGTCAAAATTAATGATAGATTACTAAGTCTAAAACTGGATGTTTAAAAGGTTATTAAACCCGTTGATACATATTGCAATATTTAATCTTTGTTCCAGTTCAGTATTTATGCTCTTTTGACAATGAATTTGTCACTCAGAGCAAGTAATTTGAAGAGACAATAATTGCACAATGTTATACGGAGTACATGAAAAATAGCGATGATAGTTACAAGTACTACACATTGCCAGTGATACTATTTTTCGTTCAAGTAAAATTCGCCACACAAATAGTCTCCTTTGTAGCCGCTATTTAGTTGTTAAATTCTTGACGTTCCTCTCCAAAATGTTTTGAGGATTGTCACGTGATAAGCTGGAATACGGCTATCCAACGGAATAATGTCCGCGATTTGTATAGCTTTACTTATAATAACTGTAACGTTCACAAGGCAATATCCTTATTTGAAAATGTTAGGTTCCAGTTCTCTAATAACACAACATTCCAGAAAATCCACGTAGACGCATATTAATGGTCACAAGGTATATAATAAATTTGAATTAAAGTTTAAATCAGTGCTGGACTCGTCAGTAGCAAAAGTCGCAAACGTCTACTTAATAGATAACTTATGGACTACAACAAAACTACCGTGTCACTTCTTTACTTATACATGGCGCATAAACAAGGTATGAATCACCAACGGTGTCTTTAAAGGCGTTACGCTAGGACACAGCTCAATTCTGTAAGTAACTTACTTTGAACTGACTTTTCGATTACATTGCCGATTATCGCCGTGTCCTAGCCGAGTTATTGCTGTTTGATCCGCTGAAGAATAAACGCTGTTGGAACCAAAGTTTAGTAATGTTTTATCTACTGCTGTACCAGTTAGTTATTTGATCCCGGTCTACGGACAAGTGACGGCTCTTTCCCTCAAGCGAGTTGCAATTGAGTCTAGTTTTCCCCAGTTTTAACGTGAGTCAAGCACCGAGTTCCCGTTGAGCCTTAAATTCGTTTCAAAGTGGAAAAACCTTCCGCCACACTATTCACCTTTGACCCGGACACGTAACAAACGGATACTGTAATATTCAGTGAATTTAACTGGAAAATAGGGCTTGTACTAAAACATGGAACGCTGGAATGCCGCAACGCTGGAACGCCGGAGCGCCGGAATACTAAAACCCGGAACGCATTTTAGCTAAAATAAATAAAAAATAAAGAAAGAAATGAATGAATTAATTAAAACCTGTATTTCTAAACCCATAAATGAGTACTTCAATTAAAACAGGAAAATTTCCCCAGTATCACCACCCACCCACAACCCTGCCTGCCAAAAAAAAAAAAAAAAACCTTGATTATCTTTATTTTGTAATAGCGTTTTTCTTTTGTTTTTTTTTTGTATTTTTTTTTTTTATGTTTTTTTAGAAAGTATCTAATTTTTTGTGTCGATCCTCTAGTTTCGGGGGGCAAACAATTTGGACATGTTTCCCGCCAAAATGACTCTCTGAATGGCACAAGACTAAACTCCAGTAAAAACACAAAACTCAAATAAAAAAGAAAAAATTCCCACGAATCACCCCCCCCCCACAACCCTGCCAGCCAAAAAAAAAAAAAAAAAACCTTGATTATCTTTATTTGGTAAGAGCGTTTTGCTGTGGTATTTATTTTGAACTGATGATTATAATGTGTTTTAAGAAACCATCTAATATTTTGTGTCGATCCTCTATTTTCGGGTGGCAAAGATTTTGGTGATGTTTCCCGGCAAAATGTAATTATGATATAATGTAAGTAACATCTAGTGGTACAGTGTTGGGAAAATGGACGCTTCTGCGAGGTAAGTGTTGTTACGTTCTTTATTTAAGCCTCGTTTCTTTTCGTTTATTACGTTTAAGATATACAGAGTATTAAATATCAGCTAAGTAATCATTGTTTTCTGTTTAGCAGCAGTCCTAAAAGCCTGGAAAAAAAGAGGTAAGCACTTGAGTTTTGGAATGTTCCGATTCAGTGTCTCATCGATTCTTCGAATACTTCTGTATTAGAGTTTTATCCTTTCCACCACTACTACTACGGTACGTTTTATTTGATGATATTAGTGAATGTTGGTCAGTTCGACCGCAAAGTTAAGTACTCTCTGGTAGTGTACATGGATAATATTCGGCGAATACACTACTTGTCATTAGGTCATGATTAGGTGGCGTTCAGTTGATCTTTGACACGAAGTGCTACAAATAGACCATATTTTAATTTTAGCGACCGCATCGCGAATTGTATAATAAATGGGTCGAAAATTCTCCAATTTCAGGTCTTAGGATGTGGCGTAGGATTTCTAAATAAGCCGGCGAGCACAGTCAGCTGTCAAACGCAAAAATCCAACGCCTAGTGTTGGTAATCGGGTAGAACATTTTTTTGGGATCCTAAAATCCGAGTTTCGAGTTTTTATTTATATTTATTATTTTTCTAATTTATTTATTTTTCATGCGTTCCGGGTTTTAGTAATTTTGTGTTCCGGGTTTTAGTATTCCGGCGTTCCGGCATTCCGGTATTCCTGGCGTTCCGTCTTTTAGTACAAGCCGGAAAATAGTGTTTTCAAAAATAACAAGTCGCATAAGCAAACCTTTAAGTGTCTTCGATAAATTAGGCTTCGGCTCGAATTTTGAATTTAGAAGCAAGCCTTCACTCATTACTGTCATTTCCATGGACCCTCACTCGCCCAACAAATTATTTGCGACAAAATACTGGTTTTGTCATACTCGGAAATGATAGTTTCTTTTCCGTAATCATTTCTTTCTTTTTCTTTTTTTCTTTTTTTCTTTTTTGGTTATTTTTGGTTATTTTGTTATTAATTTTTAAAAAGCTATGTTATTATTATCATTTTATTTAATTATTATTATTATTTTTTTTTTCATGAAAATTACTTTTATTTTTTCATGTTCCGGGATGTTCTGGCATGTTCCGGAATGTTCCGTGTTCCTGGTTTTATCGACGCCCAAAAAGAAGGGGATTAGAAGAAAAAAGCTTAAATCAATTACAACCTTGGTACAAAAATAAAGCCTAAACTATGCGCGTACAATTACGTTATCTCTTTGGAGATCTAAGCTAAATCAAATATTAACTATTCAACGCATGGGTTCTGCACCCGCAATTCGCGTTTGACGCTCCTCTAAAGGTACATAGTGACGGGTTATTTCTTGCAGACTATTTGGAAACCTTAATTCTGTCATCTGAACCGTTAGTTATTACCGGCGATTTCAATTCGATTCAATGTTCACGTTAATAATTCAAATGATCCCGATGCAACAAAACTGTTAGATCTGTTAGATTCGTTGTCTCTCCATCAACATGTTACCCAATCAACACATGAACTCGGGCACACAATTGACTTAATTTATTACGCGTCGATCAGATTGCATTCATTCGCCTACCACGACGGATCATTTGTTCTCAAATCATTTAACTGTGCTGACAGCGTTAAGAGCAACTAAATTGGCAATCACTTCAAAGGAACGGGTTTAAAGGAAAATTAAATCAATTGATCTGGACACTTTTCGAAATGACCTTGCAGTTTCTGAACTGTGCCAAGAAACTCACGATGAGTTTAATGAGGTTGTTGAATGTTGCAATAAGACATTAGTAGTGGTTACACACACCTTGGGTTTGGGGTCTTCCAGAGGGTAAATGGCTTGGGTTTGGTTTAGCTCAGGTTTCACTTTACCCTTGGGGATGCGGTTACACAGTAAAAGACACCCCTCAGGGTAAAATATAATTAGATATGAGCTAACTGACCTTGTGAATTGGCGGGAAAAGTGGAGATCAACATGGATGACACGAATCGAGATCTAGTAAGCTTAATTTCAGTGATTCTCCTGCTTATTATTCGACAGTCTTCCATAAACATAACAGTCCAGCAGTTTTTTGCGAGAAGACACCGAAGAAGGCGCTTTCGATTACGCTACCTGCAAGGTTTGTCGGCATTGTATTTAAATTTACGAGCTCGTCGCCAATTTGCTCGCCGGCCTAGAAGAGCTTGGGTATTTCCACGACCACAGAACTGGTTTCAGGAACTTCTAAATAACAATGCACTGGATCACTGGTGGAAAGAAAACTTTAGAGTTTCGCGCGATACCTTTGAATATATATGCCAGCTCGTTGGACCGGCGCTCCAGCGGCAAAACACTAGGATGCGAGATGCCATTCCAGTTCCAAAGCGCGTCGGTGCAAGCCTCTGGCGACTAGCTACTGGAGAGTGCTACCGCTCGTGTGGACTGATGGTTGGGTTGGCAAAACCGACTGTTGTAAAGTGTTGCCATGAATTTGTTCAAGAAATATGCCGACTTCAAGATGAGTTTATCAAATTTCCTTCTACTGCAGCAGAGATAGCTAAAAAAATTAAAGGCTTCGACAATAAAAGTAAATTACCTAATGTAGTTGGAGCAATAGATGGAAGCCATGTACCTATTAAGGCCCCGAAAATTAACCATGAAGACTACTTTAACCGGAAACATTTCTACAGTTTTTTAGTACAGGGAATAGTTGATGCCTCTGGCCTCTATTTATCCGTGGCCACTGGTTTTCCTGGAAGTCTACATGATGCTCGGATGCTGCGTTTAACTGACGTTTATTGGGCTGCTGAAGATGAGAATATCCTAATGGAACCTACATTTGACTTAGGCGGAACTGTAGTGCGCCCACTTATCGTGGGAGACACTGCTTATCCAAACAAAACCTGGCTCATCCGACCATTTAAGGATAACGGTGGGCTTACGCGCGACCAGAGGAATTTCAACCGAGAGGTATCCAAGGCGAGAATAGTATCCGAACATGCATTTGGTATGACCAAAGGAAGGTGGAGGGTATTACTTAAGCGCCTAGACGAAGACAGTGACAGAATACCGGACACTATCATCGCCTGCTGCGTGCTACAGAACATTTGTGTTTTACGAGGAGATGAACTTGACATAGATGATAGTGATGATGATGATAGCGATGATGATGATGATGACGACGGCGGCCCCCC